AACAGCATGAACAAGCAAAAATTGGACTTTTAACCTTCAAGGTCAAGGTCATTTATGGATGAAGGTCAAGGTTAGTGTGGTCTACTGAAAGGTCTTGTCCCAAGGGTTGTTGTGGCCAAGTATGAAGACAATACACCAAGAAATAAAAAAGTTATGATCCAGGTACAAGTTTTCGGACAGCAACGGCAACGGCAACGGAGACGGCAACGGCAACGCCGACCTGACTATAACAATACCTCTACTTTTTTTTTCAAAAAAAAAAAAGTCGAGCTAAAAACTAAGAAGGTTGAAGGTTTAAGGGACACTTCTAAGCAAATCTTGACGCTTTTTCTTTCTCCATTATATTGATTATATGTCACAATGAGAAGGTTGAGGTACAAAAAGAAACGCCATAATTACTAAGTTATGATGGATGTCCTGATGAATTTACATAAATATTTTACAGATACCAGTAAACTGTATTAATGATATGACATCATTTTAGTTGGAAATAATGTTGTAAATCTATAATTACTTTGCCTGTACATGAACTTTCTTTTTTAACACTTGTTCTTCTGCATGTATTAATATTTATTAATATTACAATAATTATTGTGCCAGTGAGTGTCCAAATTTTCAAGTTAGTGTGTGTGCAAGCTAGTGAGCGAGTGAGTGAGCATAAACAATTGCAATTGAGTGTGAAAAGAATGGGTGGGTGGGTTGGTGAATGACAGAGTGAGTGAGTGATTGAATGTGTGTTGGAGTGTGTGAGTGAGCGAGTGAATGAGGGAGATTGATTGATTTTTTGATTGAGTGAGAGAAAGAGCAAGTGAAAGAGCGAGTGAAAGAGCCAGTGTAGCGAGTGAGTGAGTGAGCGAGACAGCATGCTAGCAAATGAGTGAGCAAAACAAATGAGTGTTTTAATCAATGAATTGCAGACTTTTGCCAAGGGTCATTGGACGTTTAGACAGACGTACATTAATCAGAGGAAAATCTGAAAGAAATCAGTGTCAACTAGTGTTAAGCATTACAAGAATAAGAAAAATAACTTCATAGCTTCGGCCAGACTATCATATAAGATTTGATGCAATCGAATATAAACATATCCCAAGATGCTCCGTTATCAATCTAGTTTCTGGGGGAACACAATTTAATTGTCTCCTACATGAAAAATAACATCCTATGTTTTCAGTTTAATAATAAAGGAATAACTTGTCAAACGATGGGAGTGATATATGGTGTACTACTGAAGAGCATACCTATATGCTTTGCTTATTTTTTTTCAGTCATAATATTGTTGGATTTATGTGTTTTTATATTAAAAATATACTTAAATTGTACAATGCTGAATAACTACATTAAACTACAAAGAAAAGAACCAGATTCCCAATCCAGAAGTTGTAGGTACCAACCCAACAGGTAATATTCTCTTTTGTCTCCCTTGTTATCTAAACAATTACTGGTTAAAAGCACTAGATTTATTTACCATTCTTGGGACAATCCAACAAGATCACTTGTTATTCTGTTGTTATTGTCAAAAAATCAGCAATTTAAGATAAGTGGTGCTTCAACAATGGTGATTTGTCCCTCATAAGTTATTGTCCATTTCAAAATCACTAAACAGTACAGGAGTATTTAAGGGGAAAAAAATCCAAATTTAGAAGAAAAAGTCACAGAAATATGTTATTGTGATACAGTTGAAACTTTCCTGTGTAAGCTACTGTTTTATCATAAACATGTTTATAAGAAAGACTTTTCCTACTTCAGCATCAAATTTTGTCAAATTCAACTTTACTGAAGTACCAGTATCTGTTCATACACTTAGAGAATAAATTTTTGTAACTTTACAACATATGTGGTGTTTCAACAATGGAGTTCTTTTCTTAACTGTGAAGTAGATGTCTGTAACAGTGCATAGATAAAAGGTGTTCCAACAGGGTTATTTGTTCTTTACAAGTAATTGTCCATTGATCTAACATAGATAAGTGCATTATTTAAGAAAGCCATAGATAAGTCAGGTGATAAGAAAGGTTTCACTTAATAAAGACTATTTGTTCTTAACAAGTAACTGTCATTTGCTTTGCAAAGATAAGTAGTGTTTCATTAAAGGCTATAAATTTTGTTCTTTACAAGTAACTGTCACTTGCTTTGCAAAGATAAGTAGTGTTTTGCTAAAGGCTATTTGTTCTTTTTAAGTTACTGTCATTTGCTTTGCAAAGATAAGTAGTGTTTCACTAAAGGCTATTGGTTATTTACAACTTCTAAGCCATTTTTGCTCTTAACACAGAACTAAAGGCTATTTGTTCTTATTGTCATTTGCTGTCATTATAGTCATTTGCTTTGTCAAGATAAGAAATGTTTCATTTAGGGCTTTTTGTTCCTTACAAGTTATTTTCAGTTGCATGCCATAGATAAGTGGTGTTTCACTAAGGGTTAATTGTTCTTTACTAGTAATTGTTCATTTTTCTGCATAGATAAGTGATGTTTCACAAAAGGATATTTGTTCTTCACAAGTTACTGTCATTTGCTCTTAGAACATAGATAATTGATGTTTCACAAAAGGATATTTGTACTTCACAAGTTATTGTCAATTGTTCTTAACATAGATAAGAAATGTTTCACAAAAACATATTTGTTCTTCATAAGATATTGTCCAGATAAGTGGTGTTAACTAAAGTTATTTGATCTTCACAAGTTATTGTCCATTGTTTTGCAAAGATAAGTGCGATTTCACTAAAGGCAATTTGTTCTTCACAAGTTATTGCCAATTGCTCTAAGAACAAAGATAAGTAGAGTTTCACAAAAGGATATTTGTTCTTCACAAGTTATTGTCAATTGCTCTTAACATAGATTAGAACTGTTTCACCAAAACATATTTGTTCACCAAAACATATTTGTTCTTCACAAGATATTGTCCAGATAAGCAGTGTGTTACACTAAAGTTATTTGATCTTCACAAGCTATTGTCCATTGCACTGCAAAGATAAGTGGTGTTTCACTAAAGGCAGTTTGTTCTTTACAAGTTATTGCCAATTGCTGTTAGCATAGATAAGTAGTGTTTCACAAAAGGATATTTGAATTTCACAAGTAATTGTCATTTGCTCTTAATAGAGATAAGTGGTGTTTCAAAAAGATATTTGTTATACATGAAATGTGCATGTGCATTGTTCTGTATAGACAAATGGTGTTCCACTAAAAGATATTTGTTCGTCACAAGTTATAGTCCATTTCTCTCTTGTACATAATAATTTTATATTATTATATTATATTATGCATAATGACAGGACATTAGCATCCTGTTCTGTCTTTGTCTTATCAGGTTCACATGTCATCATTTTGTCTTGTTGGCCTTAGCACCATTCCTGAAGGTTTTCCTGACTCTTGGTCAAATACCACTTGAGCTATGTGCGACTCAAGTTGAAAATTGTAAAATTTTACTAAGTCAAGGGCAATAACTCTACAAATACTGAATAAATCCACAAGTGAAATCCCAGGTGCATAACTTCAAATGCTAAGCAACATTCCAGTTAAGTTTCATAGGTCAAATACTTTTTTGTCCATAGTAAACAATGTAAATAAGAGAAATACAAGCTTCCTTTCCAAAGAATCCAAAGTCCCTGGCAGGTTTGAACCTACAGCAAGTGTTTCTAAGTCAACAACTTCAACCCCTCTGCCACAGACGCCCTTAAGTGGTGTTTCACTAAGGTTTCTTTTGTTTATGGCTCTACATATATAGTGCTGTTTCCTCTAGCGTTTTTTAGCTATGCCACCCAATGTTTTAAGTAATGAAGCTTTAAACTTGTTTCATTAGATCTTGAAACATTATAAAAAAGCTTATTTCATCAGTTTTACTTTCTTCTTTTTTTTATTTGTAAAACTAAACAAACAAACAATAGCATCATCAAAATTTTACTAAACTTTATACCAAAAGGGAAAACAAGCAAGCAAGGAAAAATGTATAATTTCTTTTTAAAAGGTCAATGCTAAATAATAAAAGATAGAATTATAAAATTCAAATACTCACTGTCACAAATTTAGCTAATATAATTCCTTATATTTACACCATAAATCCTCTAGAACATAACATTTTCCTCACTTCCACAATATAAGAAAATAACAGGCAACCTTTCTTACAGATGAAATCTACACTATTGTATCAAATATTCAAACTTTTCCTTTACATGGCATTTACCATTTGGCACTCAAATTTTCTCCTTTCAACTGATGTAACTTCAAACACTTTCTTCTACTTTACAGGGATAAAAATATGTGCCGAAAACATCAAGATACTTCTTTGTAAAAATAAATACTGTTATAGCCAATACCTTCTCACACCATAATGTGAACAGTATTCCACCTCTTTGCGAGATAAAAAACAGAGAGAAAAAAATGCAACAGATATTGTTTCCTTAAGACATAAGGAAAACAACCTGTTTCCAATACAACATGTTTCTTGCATAGACTGTAAACAGATCCTGTCATTTGTACAGCTAATAAATAAATTAATAGGCCGGGAAGCACTGACAGTCCAGAATGGGTTCATATTTTAGCAATCTCACCAGAGAATATTATGGGTTAATGCTTAAATAAGGTGAAGAACCACAATTCCATGTGTGAGTTCACAAACCAACAACAATTAATGGAAAGTTTGATAGCTCTAACACTCAAATGAAACCATTATGCCTTTAAATACCCCCTCTATTTCTTCTTCTTTTTTTTGCTTAATCAGGGCCCATAACTCTTAAAGAAAAATATACATATAATTTATGACACATTATGTAATCCTGTATTTTCACCAAAATATTTGCTACATAGAAATATTTCTAAAAGTGTACAAGAGCTACATACAGTATAACTTTAAAAACAACATTCAAATATTTGCCTGGAACTGATGCTATTATTCAAATATTGAAAGATTTAATGAAAATTAGCATATACCTTTAACGTCAGGGTGCGGGTGTTAACAGTGACCCAATGTTACCATAAATTAATGTCACATGATCATCCGTTATGTGTAATAATTATGATAACATGGTGTTCTTGCTTGCTGGACTACATTTAGCTGTGGTTACCTCCCTTTCCCCCTTTCCCCCACTCACTCCCTTGCAATTCAGGGCTTTATGATACTTCTATATGTATAAATAACCATCAATAAAGACAAAATATTAAAATTTCAGAATCATTTTTTTTATTTATTTTATTTAAGTTTATCACACATCCGTGCCAATTTTGCGACTCCGTAAATATGGTATTGCACGGCCGTGCATATATTTTGACGTGACGTCATTAGTGTTATACAAACATAGTGTAAAGACGCGCTAAATGTTAGCGTTATACTATAGACGCGTCAATGAAAAATGACTCTTATTTCACTTTAAACGGTCTTTATCACATAAACCGCGGTGCAGGAGTGTAATAAAGCCATTTAATAAAAACGATATTACACTAGACGATATTACACTAGTGTAATAACACTTTGACGTCACGTCATTTGCACTATAAACATAGCGTTAAAGCGCGCTAATGTTAGCGTTACAGTATAGGCGCGTCAAAGAAAAATAACTCTTGATAACAGTTTACCGTTCTTATTTTATATATGTGATAAATAGAATATTATATTCGTGTAGATTCAATACTAAATTTATTGAACTCGTTGAATAAAACAATATTATGCTCGCCAGAGGCTCGCACAATATGTTTTTATTCAACTCGTTCAATAAATTTAGTATTAAACCTACACTCATTCAATATCCTCTATTTATTTTGGGTATGTGATAAATAGAATATTAAATTCCTGTCAGTTCATTACTGAATTCATTGCACTCGTTGAATAAAATAATATTATGCTCGCCAGAGGCTCGCATAATATAATTTTATTTAACTCGTGCAATAAATTCAGTATTGAACTTACACTCATTCAATATCCTCTATTTAATATTTGTGGTGTTCATTAAATGATGTTTGATTATGCTCAACTCTAACCCTGCCAGACGACGTCAGATTTAACCCATGTGACAGTGTCACCTTATTACAGTTTCCACTGTTCACTACATTTTTTTTTTTTTTTTAATTTTCCCTCTAAAAATGATGATTGGTCCATTTAAGATGCCTGAATTGATATCTATTTCCTACAAGTCACAAAAATTTCAATATAAGTCACAACTGAAGAATCAGTACTATAATCAGAAGTCATAGACATGGTTACAAACATCTCTATAATGCATAATTATAAGGATATAAATTCATAAAAGAAAAAGTAAAATGAGGCGCCCCTAATGTTTTTTATTGTACATTTACGATATGTATTATCAGATATATGGAGCCTAGTACAAGCATTTCTGTTTTTCTGGAAGTGTGATTTCGCACATAAAACTGGCCAGAGTAATATGTTTGGTAAGTAAGTATTTACCACATCACTAATCAATCCAAGCTGAAACAATATACAAAATGGCAAGAGCCATTTCCAGGAGATATAACTACACTATCTCCGATAATTCCTCCGCAACTGGTCACATAAAACATTCATTTGTGTGCTGACACCAGCGTATATTCCATTCCCCCCCTACAACCTTTCCATAAGTTCTTGTAATTCATAAGCAGTAAAATGTGCTTGACCTGAATCATGGCAACGTCTTTGGGGAAATAAATATATATGAGTACAGGATTTCATAGCCTAGAAGTTAGACCAGTAATAAAACTGACAGTGGAAAAACAAAAGTTGTTAACATAAAGAAATTGTTTTATACAAAGAATGTTATTCATATTGATAATCCTTTTTTGTTTGGGTTTTAAGTTGCACCAACACAGTACAGGTCATATGGCCAATTTCGAAGAAGACCTCAGGTGCCCCTTTCATTATTTCAGGCACAAACTGGCAACCATGGGAGCTATGTCTTGTAGGAATATAAACATTCATTTTAAGAAAGCCATGTCATGTAAAAATGTGTATATAATAGTAAAAGATACCATGTCAATGTAACGCTTCAGGAAACCATGTAATGTAAGACAACAGGGAACCATGTAATGTAAGACTACAAGGAATTCATGTAATGTAAGACAACAGGGAACCATGTAATGTAAGACTACAAGGAATTCATGTAATGTAAGACTACAGGGAATCATGTAATGTAAGACTACAAGGAAACATATAATGTAAGACTACAGGGAAACATGTAATGTAAGACTACAGGGAACCATGTAATGTAAGACTACAAGGAATTCATGTAATGTAAGACTACAGGGAATCATGTAATGTGAGACTACAAGGAATTCATGTAATGTAAGACTACAGGGAACCATGTAATGTAAGACTACAAGGAATTCATGTAATGTAAGACTACAGGGAATCATGTAATGTGAGACTACAAGGAATTCATGTAATGTAAGACTACATGGAATCATGTAATGTAAAACAACAGGGAACCATTTAATGTAAGACTCCAAAGAACCATGTAATGTAAGACTTAAGGGAAATATGTAATGTAGAATGTGTATATATTAGTATATTATAAGAAACCCATGTCATGTAAGGCTTCAGGAAAACATGTCATGTAAGGCTTCAGGAACTATGTCATGTAAAAATTTATAAATAAAAGTTAATTGGAAACCATGTCATTTTAAAATATGTATGTATATTTAAGTTACAAGGGATTCTCAGAATATGTAAGAAAAACTGCATGCTTAATTTATACGTAAACAACACTACCAATAAAGGTTATGTTTGAACAACACTGTGTTCTAAACAGATAACAACATCAGTAAATGATAAACACCAAACGTCTCTAGAGATTGTAACAAGAAACAGTTAAGACAGCCAACTCAACTTGTTACATTGTAAATAGTCCAGCATAATGCCAATTACTGTAGACTCAGTACAAGTAATTGTAAATAAACCTGTGATAGCTTTTGTTTGCTGACAATATCCAAACATGATACACAGTCACATTCTGATCATTTTACTTGTAAAATGAGACATAGCATGCAAGAACCTGAACGCTATTCTTAAGTTTTATGCAGTGTTGCTGCTAGTTTTCAAATGTATACAGCTTGAAAATTTTCACTGATGCCAGTTTTCAAATATTGACAGCTTCAAATGTTTACAGATGCCAATTTTTAGGTGTATACATCTTGAAATGTTCACTGGTGCCAGTTTTCAAGTGTATACATCTTGAAATGTTCAAAGATGCCAGTTTTCTGGTGTAAACACCTTGAAATGATCACTGGTGCCAGTTTTCAGGTGCATACATCTTAAAATGTTCAAAGATGCCAATTTTAGGTGTAAACAGCTTGAAATGTTCACAGATGCCAGTTTTTTTTTTCTTCAAATGTATACAGCCTGAAATATTCACTGATTTTCAACTGATGTCCTACTTATAAATAGACACTGTCTCCTGTATTTGAAACATTATCAAAACAACAGACATGAACACCATTACATGTTCTCCTTAAATTATAAACTTCAATTACTGAAAATGTCATCTCCAATGTTTTTTTATCATTTCATCTCTAGTTTGTGTTTTTCCTTTACCCATTTTCTAACCCTTCAAGTAATAATCAACACAAAAGTTCCTAGGCATTGCTATAGGAAAAAATTGAACTTTATAATTGGTAGCACATTAACACTCTTCTAGCTTTTCTCCCTTCTGGATCAGAAATAACATCATGTTAGGAAATAATTGAGGAACTTTTTTTGAATAATATTGCTGGTATTGTTTTGCAACTTAACAAGTCAAAATTAGTCTTGATATAATTATGCTGGCACATGTTTTTATAAGAATAGAAATAAAAAAAACTTTGAAATTCAAAGCTCTAATGCATACAGTTCCAATTAAGAAATTTTTACAGCATAACTGTTGACTTGCAACAAAATGAATGAATGAATGATAATGAATAAATGTATGAATGAACAAAGAAATGATCAAACAAACAAACAAATGACTGAATGAATGAAATAATGAATGAATGAGTGTATGAATGAATGAATGAATGAATGAATGAATGAATGAAATGAATGAATGAATGAATGAATGAATGAATGAATGAATGAATGAATGAATGAATGAATGAATGAAGTAAAAAACAAAATAATAAAATGAACAAACACAGAAACAAATGATTGAACAAAAAAATAAATGAACAAATTGATGAATGAATGAATTAATGATTGAATGAATGAATCCATCCATCCATCCATCAAAGAATACAAAGTCTAACAGACATAAAGCAAATATGGTAGCAGGTAAAAGTATTGTAAGACTTACCGGAAACCAACATTTATTTTTCATAACATATTTTAAATACAGGTTACTACACAGGAGCCGTCTAAATTTTATTCTGCACCATAATTAGCGTTTTATAATACTGTCAAAATAAAAATATCTAGTTCAAGTTAAAAGAAATCAACAACTTTGTTGGTTCTAGCAGCATTGTGTCTAGAAGGTATGTAACTATAGCAACTTAACATATATATGTTCTTAGATACATTATTATAGCCCCAAATTGATGTACATTCATCAGTAAAAACATTTTTTTTCCTTCCTACAAATGCCCATAAGGGAATAAGAATAAAAAAATTACGTTGTATTCTGCCATTTTTTTCGTGGAAAATTGTCACATATTTTCATTTGTTAAATTAGTTGATAATTCCTTGAGTCTTGAGTTATCAGAAGAACCTGCCGCCTAGACTGGATTACCTGTCCCTATTACTAAGTTATCGGACCCTTATAACCACAGAATAAGTGAAGCAGGCAACCAGACTACCTGCTGCCCTGTTATATATACATGTGTAATATGCTCTTCTAATATAACCAAGTTTCAAGTGATATAACTTTGCCAAACTTTTTTTGTTGTGGTGCCTATATTATTAATTTGTATGATTCTATAAAAATTTGCAAATATATGTAAAATCTCAATACAAAATACATGTTTATGTAAAAATTGTCGTGTTTCATTCTTTAAGGCATATTTCTGAATATCAACTATCAAGTTGTTCAGATAATTTTGTTTTGAGCTGCTGAACATTTTCTTTAATCATACTTTGATAAATTTAAAAGGCACTTTTCTTTTATTACAAATCTTTAGGGCCATTATTTTCCTTTCCTGTGCATGTTAAAGAATTATAAATCTGCAT